ATAATCTAACCGGTAGTGTTTATGATAAAAAAATAAATAATATTTATGTGATCAGTATCGGTGATCGGTATCGGTATCGGCAGGAAAAAACCTGATCGGCACATCTCTACTCATTAGGCCTTCATTTACCCCATCTTCTACCAATTTTTCTAATCCAAGAACGCTGACCTTCCCAACAATGTCTGAAACAACCAGTTTCAACCAGATTTTCACAGAGGAATGAGCTATGAGCTCTGTGTGTTTGTGCTGCGTTTGCCCTTAAGTAAATGCTACCTATGCGTCATCTGTCTGCTTAGTTACACAATGAATTTAACACTCATTTCAGATAGGGATGCAAACAATCAATTTACGATTGTCGATTAATGGTTTATTCGATCAAAATTAGTTCCAAAGAAGCAAAGTGGACATATATTTGCAAGGTTAGAGAGGCATGTCAGGCAACATGTCTAATGGTTGACAGGTTTTTGTCTGGCAATATTAAATTATGACGGGAATGTTCGATGTGTTTTCAAAAACACCGCTAAAATAAACACTGTACTTCCCCTGTTGGATAGGCTCCCGCTGCCTTTGATGTCCAAATTAGTCGTGAAGTCCCAGAATGATTTGTGGTGGAGGGAAAGTATGAGCAAAATGTATTCTGCCATTATAATATTCAACAAAAGAACAGTGCAAGGTGTTCCCCGTGCAGATGTCATTTATATGGACCTCTGACAAGATTGTCTTGCTTGGAAATGCAAATGACTAACTCAAGTCACACATAAGTCCATGAGTCAAGTTTACTATTTGGGAACTGCAAATACAAAGACAAGAAGCAACGTAATCTCAAAGCTCTGGCCAATATAAAACTGAGGCAGCAATTGAGAAGACTTCCTAAATCAGTTTGGCACTGGGACTAAAAAAAGAAAAAGTTTCAAGGTCAAGATAAGCAGTCACAGTAAATGAAATTATAATGACTGTGGTAATTGCTGAATCGCTGGAACTATACTGATAGGGAAAAGTGAACGTTTGGGGGTCACTTATTCCACCGGAGTTAAAAAAAAAAAAAAAAAAAAAGAAAATCACATCAAGTGCCTAATGATCTCTTTCATATACTGTATTGCAATAAAGCCCTGGGAGTATTTTTAAAGGAGAGGTGCCATCCTCCGAGCTGGATTCATTTGGGTGTCGGAAATATCCCCCTTGATCTCACTAACTAGAGCGCATCTGGAAAAAAACAGAAGGCTTTGAAAAGCTCAGGATGAGATGAAAAACTGGGGAGGTGAAGATGACACCATCAAAAGCCTACATTAACTGCACCGGGTTTGACTGCAGAGCTTAATGTAACAGGCTGAGGACGGCAAAGCAAGGAAGGAAGTGATTTTCCCAAAAAGAACTAAACCAGCTGTTTGAAGAGCTATTCTTAAAATATTTATGGCGGAAAATTTCACACTAAGAACTGCCAAAATGCTCAAGCAAAAATGGCTACTTTGGAAGAGGAGCAGGTTGCAGCTTGGAGAAGGAAAAGGTTGCAGTCACTCAAACAAATCAACACTTTCTGTGCCAGAAATGTTCACTTTTCCATTTCAAAATTCACATTTTTCTACATCCAAGTTCCAATGATTTTCAAAATATTCAATGACAAAATTCTCCTGGGGATTATCAATTCGAAATGTCTAGGTGGCAAAAAAGCAAAGAAACAACACTTTGAAAAAAAGAAAAAGAAAAAAAAGAATGAGTGTTTGTCAGTGGGCTCTCTCCCTTAGTAGGTCTAAAAGCCAGATTCTATAAAATCCATTTCCTTCTATTTTTCAATCCTTGAGTTTTCTACTCTCTCTTTTTTAAACAAATGTTGGATCCTAAAGCAAATAAAACAAGTTTTAAAGGCGATGTAAAGTTATGAAAGGTTGCAATAGTATAAATAAAAATATATCTATAATTGGATGAATTTTTCAGTTACTTATTACACACAATATCAAAGAAAAAAGTACAATTTTTCATGCCATCTATCATGAAATTGCCACAATGGCTCAAATAGACCTCACCATGTGATTGGTTAATTTGCAAATCATATCAACTGCAAACCAATCAAATTCATGTAATGCAGTTAAGAAAAAATGCTGAAATAATTGTGCTTTTTAAGCGGTAGATTTAAATTAAATAGTTACACATTTACTTGTTTGATTCTGTTTAATAAGTTATTGAAAGTTTTAAACAAGTCTAGAAATATTGCAGAATTCTTTATTTGTAGAATATTTTACAACTTTGAGTTGAACCTTGATGTAAACCCAATCATTCTGAACAAATAAAGTTGTAATGTGGCAACAGAAATAAAGTCGTACAAGTTCTCTCCCACCCCCACATACCTGGAAATGATAAATGAAAATTTCAAGACAGTAGGAATTTTAGATTTGAGAATTAATAACCATTGATAAATCATAGCAAAATAAATAAAAAATAAAAAAAGAGCAGAGGAGGAAAAAAAACAACAAAAAAAAAACAAAACGATATAATCTCAAATTCAAATAGGTCAGTCCACCCTGGATGGGAAAACAGAGAAAGACCCCAGCTGATATGAAGAGCGCCTACAGGGACAATCATTAAAATTTGGAAGGAAAAGATCCTCTTCTGGTGTGCCACATGTCTCAGGGACACATTAAATTGTAGCAGCAGGCTTGGTGGGAATGGGGAGAAAAAAAAATCATTTTATTCATTAATTTTGAAAAATGTGTTCAGAGGACATGGCTGCATCAGGAGGAGGCTTCATAAAGAGGCAAAACGAGTAGGCAGAGATGTGTCTCTGCAGACTGAAAAGCGGCAAGATGAGGCAGTAAGTGGAGCGAAAAAATAAATAAATCTTAAACTGACATCTTGTTGAATGTGTGTGAAATTAAGCTTTTGTTGCGAAGAAGAAGAAGACGAAGAAGAAGACAAAGAAGAAGAAGAAGACGAAGAAGAAGACGACGAAGAAGAAGACGAAGAAGAAGACGACGAAGAAGAAATAAAGATTCAAGTGTTAGGTTGTAGGGCTGGCATACTGCGATCCCCTCGCAGCACACAGGAGAATACAGTAAATTTAGAGCAACAATGCTGACTTCACTGCCAGCCTTGTGGAAGTTGAGCTAAAAATCAATAAAAGCCCAAGGTTCATGATATTCTGAAAGCAGCGTCCTTGCAGCAGCTTGGACGGACGCGCAGAGCAGACTTAATGGACAGAATTTACACT